CGAGAGGAGGAGGAGGAGGGACGGACACCTCTGGGGGGGGGAAATGGGCGGGCTCTGCGGGAGGACTCCCGCCAGGCAGCGCCCGCTATGGGGAGAGGCCGCCGCTGGAGGGCTCCCCACCTCCCTCGTTCCGCCGCAAGGGAAGCGGGTGAACCCGACGCGGAAACAAGACGAGGCGGAGACACCGTGTGTGCGTGAGGAGGGGGGGTTCGCTTTCTTTCTCGGTGCCCCAGCGCGGGACGGGGGATACCAGGGCAATCCCCCCCCTCAAGGCCCGCCTCGCTTAACCGAAGAGCGGCATCTCCTTCTCGGACCTGCCCAAGCCCTTTCCAGCTGGCCTAACAAAGGTGTCCACCGGGACACGGATTTGACACGAGTCCCGGGGATACTCAAAAGGAGGCCATCTTTGCTGGCCCGGGGCATGCTGGGAGATGTAGTCTTCGTTAGGGAGCTCGGCCAGGTCCTGGCGTGTTCTTGGGAGCCTCCTGTGTGTGTGTGTTTTTTTTTTCCTCTCTCTCTCTCCTCGGGAGGGAGTCTGAACTGAACTGCCGCCGGATGGAAAGAACCTGTTCTTGTCATCATTGTTCTGCTGAGTAATTTGGTTGTAACCGTGCAAGCAAAACGTTGCGCTATAGTAATAACAATGTACAGTACTCTTCATCATTTCATGCTCGTAATCCTTCTACATAAATTAATCGCTTTAGATACGTTTTGAACGTATCGGTTTGATTATGGCGTAGGACTCACGGAAATGCATTTAAAATTGCACTTTGTTTGTGTTACCATAAGTTAAGTGACCTGAGCAATGAACTTGTAACAATGCACTATATCGTGGGAATTCACGGTACAAGATTGTTTTTCTGTCCAAAAATTTCTGGTGTTGGGAGGGATAGGCGTGTGTTAATGTATTGCAGCAATGTGTTATTAATGTACTGTCGTCTTGCAGGCATCTGAAGGAGTGGGCTACAGTCCACAAAAGCTTATGCCGAGGAAAAATTCTTCATCAATTCATGCCCGTAATCCTTCTACATAAATTAATCGCTTTAGATACGTTTTGAACGTATCGGTTTGATTATGGCGTAGGACTCACGGAAATGCATTTAAAATTGCACTTTGTTTGTGTTACCATAAGTTAAGTGACCTGAGCAATGAACTTGTAACAATGCACTATATCGTGGGAATTCACGGTACAAGATTGTTCATTTAAAATTTTACCATAAGTTACCATAAGTTAAGTGACCTGAGCAATGAACTTGTAACAATGCACTATGTCGTGGGAATTCACGGTACAAGATTGCTTTTCTGTCCAAAAATTTCTGATGTGGGGAGGGATAGGCGTGTGTTTAATGTATTGCAGCAATGTGTTATTAATGTACTGTCGTCTTGCAGGCATCTGAAGGAGTGGGCTACAGTCCACAAAAGCTTATGCCGAGGAAAAATTTACTAGTCTTTAGAGGGCCAGTAATACTCTTCATTCTTTTTTTAATGAATCCTATGCATGCACTGAATAAATCTCAGTGAAGTAGGACTCTTGAGTAGTGAGGCAGCATATTGGGATTTAAATTAGTGAAAGATGGGATATAGTTGCAGAATAATAATAATATTATTGGGAATGCCCAGATCGAACGGATTTACCAAGATCTTGAATCCTATATTCAAAACCTTTTACTAACAATGACCAAATGATAATTGGGGGTGATTTTAATGTCAGAGTACTGTCGTCTTGCAGGCATCTGAAGGAGTGGGCTACAGTCCACGAAAGCTTATGCCAAGGAAAAATTTACTAGTCTTTAGAAGGCCAGTAATACTCTTCATTCTTTTTTTAATGAATCCAATGCATGCACTGAATAAATCTCAGTGAAGTAGGACTCTTGAGTAGTGAGGCAGCATATTGGGATTTAAATTAGTGGAAGATGGGATATAGTTGTTTAATCTGTGATTATACTGGCATGCTAGCTTTGCTGCTGCTTGATTCACAGCCTATTTTATTTTTCTGTCTGGATTAGATGCGCTGCTTATAATTTATGCCCCCCCCGATGGATTGCACTTCCCCATAGTCACTAGGTGCCTCTTTAAAGATACCATCAGTAATTTCGCAGGCCTTAATTTGGCACAACTAGTTTATCGGCTTGACCTACACATGTGAAACACTAATAAATAAACTAGTAGACTTAGAAGATGGGATATAGTTGTTTAATCTGTGATTATACTGGCATGCTAGCTTTGCTGCTGCTTGATTCACAGCCTATTTTGCATGCTAAATCAGAGCAACTCAGTTTTGCTGCTGCTTGATTCACAGCCTATTTTATTTTTCTGTCTGGATTAGATGATCACACAGAGATCACGTATTGCTTGGGTGCCACTGTGTCCACACTGGCCCCTCATTGCAGAGTGGTTTGATTCACATCATTTCCCCCTCTCTTTTTTTTCATTCTGACCACTGTTGATCCCCGGCTCTCCTTTTATGGCTCTTAGTAAAGTTGGGGTTGAGTGTTAGCAAAGAGGGATAGTTTTCCAAAGTTCTCCATAATGTGCAAATACATATACACATGCTATGAGAAATAGTAATCTGTGTAATTTGTCGGAGTTGTTTCTATTTAATAGTGATGTTTATTCTTTTGTGTTTATTTTTTTAAAAAATGTGAAACATCACACCTAGCTTAGACATCACCGGAATACCACCCAGTGTCAGTCCTCCTGTCCTTTTGTATCCTGATCACATGGGAAAAACACCACTGCAATCTTTATGGATTTTAAAAAACTAGAAGCCTCCAGTAGCAGGGGGAAAGCTCAGTATCTGAAGCAAAAAAGGCCAGGCTGATTTGCTTGGCTTTTGTATCATGTTATCATTTTTAAAAATTTGAATTCATCCATTCTGCTTCCATAGGCAATTCTGTACTATTTACCAGTATAGTCACAGCCTTAGAATTGGCTTCTCTCCTTCATTTGTATACTGCACTGTGGTGTTAAAGCATGAATTATTTAGTCACTGAATGCAGTGGTTTTCAAATGCTGCACATGGAGACATATGGATACCACAAACCCCAGTAGGTTATTGGCATAGCTATCAGTAAAGACAACAATAATAGAGGAAAGAATGTTTTAAAGATAGGCTGATGGCTCTCAACTGACCTTCTCTCGTCATTTGAGGTTGCAGAGGGATGTTCGATGTGTACTTAAGCCATGGTCTCAGTTCAGACAGGTAACTGGCTCTAGAAAAAAAAATGAGACGGGGAGGCTCTCAAAACATAGCAGAATTATGCAGAACATCCTAGAGGCATAAAGGAACTTTTTCAGGGAAACAATATATCAGAAGACTTGTATTTTAGAACATGTCGGAGTGCTCTGGGTGGTGGTAGAAGGGACACACTGGCCTCTAAGTGGTCCCATATGGTTCATGGACTGCATGTTGGCCACTGCTGCTTTAGGTGAGGAAGCTGAGGCACTGCTTGAATTGAGTACATTCTCAAGGGGTGCCTGCAATGTTCAGAATTTCCACAACACATGTATAAAACTGCCTTGAGGTGAATTGATGTGCAAGGGGTTGCCAGAATATGGAAAGTTTTGAAACAGTTGATTTAATGCAAAAATGTGTATCTGTATGCTATCAGGTGAGTTTTTAGCCCACTAGAACACATTGAATGGTTTTCAATGTGTTTCAGTGGGCTTTCTATTTTCGCTTTACGACGTTTTTGCTTAACAGCAATTTTCCTGGAACAGATTATCACCGTTAAGCGAGGCACCACTGTACTTTGAAGAATTTGTGCCTACAATTTCTCCATAGCTGAAAGACTGATTTCTGTGTAACTGAAATGTGTCTGTAACTTTTCAAAAAAGTTGCATGTATTTAACATGTTTTCAACAACTTTGAAGTAAATCTATACAGTACTTATTGACTATAGAAGCAATGTAGATAATAAAGCTTGTGGAATCAGGCAAGCTGATGTTGCCTGGAATTATTGACTGTAGAAGCAATGTAGATAAATAAAGCGTGCGGAATCAGGCAAGCTGATGTTGCCTGGAATCATTGCAACAATGAAGCAACTTACTTTGGCTTGATACTCAGATGAACTTTGATATGATTAGAAAGATTGCCTGGTTCACACTTTTTTTTTCAGAGATAAATGCCAGCTATGGGAACAAAGACTTCTGATTTTTCCTCAAGGTCTATAAAAGTCTGTAGGGCTCTTGGGAAGTTTTTCAGGCAACAGGTTTTCTGACCTGAGTAAGAAGGAAGGGTGACTGGAGACTGGGATTGAAGACAGGAATTTCTTAAATCTTGGAGTTGGATCAAATGGATAGCATATCATTAGAAACTGGACTCCCTTAAGATATGCTAATGACATATGTTTTATCTTAAATTTGCATGTTGCAGATTAGTTTGCTTTTGCTTTGTGACTGGTGATCAAGTGATAAACATGGGCTTCATTTGCACTTCTGAATGCTCAGGTACAAACTTTTGACAAAGTTGTGTGCTTAGAGGGACAATCCCGTATTAACAGGAAATGTACATTTTCCTGAAAGTGTGATTTGAGCCTAGCTCAAAAAGCTGTATGTTTTGAAGAATGAACAAGGGAAACAGAATGAGAGAGATGGGCTAGGTAAAGGAAATTGTGGCTATATTCATATTAGACATGGAGGAACTTTATAAGTTTGTGGGTCACGTCCCCCGTGGAAAACCTTTTGCATGTCAGTGGTGAAAAGGGTTGGGACCAAAAGTCGGCAAAGCAAGTGCTAAAAGTAAGCCGCCACTTTGAGCCATCAACTTTTCACACTCACCCACATTCATTCATTCTTGCCCTCCACTATTCACCCATTTATCTCA